CGCGCGGCCTCGCGTGGCCGAACGAAGGCCGGAGCGCCGAACCGCCCTGGGGCCCGCCGAGGCCTGGGCCTGTCTGCCTTGGCGGGCACGGGACTTTGTTTCCCAGAGGGGCGCAGAGCCGGGTAGAGCTGGAGGTACAGTGGGGTCGAGATACTGGCGAAGACTAGCTGCGAGAGGACTCTGACTAGTGAGGTGGCCGCCGCGGTGACCCAGGCAGGGGTGAGCTTAGAGGAAGAAGGTGAGAGTGACCTCCTCTCCCCGGCCAGGGGTCGTGGTGTGGCCCTCGTGGGCTCTCCAGGTGGGGCCCGCTGCCCACCTTGCTTCATGCCTGCCCTTGACGGGATCAGAAGCCAGCAGGCTCCCGCGCGCCCCTCGCGTGACACCTCAGGTCCACCCACTCATGTGCTGCCTGGGCCAGAGGGTGAGCGGGCACGTGTGTCAATCGCTGCCCCTCCACCCCTCTGCAGGGGCCCCGGCCCGGCCACAGGCAACACCCTGATGTTGCCTGCACACTCGGCCCGTCCAGGTGGCCTTAGGCTTCTGAGGGGAAGCTTGTGTCCGACTGTTATGTGGGCCGAACCAAACAAAACCCACTAAGCAGATCGCCAGCCGCGCACTGGGCACACAGAGGTGCAGGCAGACAGCCGACGATCAGAAAGTACGTGTGGCCTGGCAGCGGTGCTGAGGGACAGGGTAAAGGGGTATGCGGCGGGGTTGGGGGGACCCAGGCCGGGGAAGGGCAGACAGGGAACGTCGAAAGTGAGTCGGCAGGCGTGAGCCCTGGGAGAGTCCCCTGCACATGGGGCGTGGGTGGAGGCGGAAACTGCTCCCCACGCCCCCGCAAGTGCCCTAAGGTGGAGGCATCCGAGAACCGCCTGCCCTCCGCGCCCAGGGCGACGTTGGTTTTCCACATTACTCCAGGCCACAGTAAATAGGCATGACCCACTGGACTAGGGTTTCGGGGTGGTCATAGGATGCCAAGAGCTCAAGAGAGGTGAAGGAGGATGTCTTGGTTCACCAGATGCGAGCAGAGCCTCCCGGTAGCACTGACGTCATAAATGCAGACCTGGCGACTGGAATGGCTGTACCTGGCAGTGCAGGGTAGTGTCCAGTTTACTCAGGGTCTCAAGTGTCAGCTCTTGTCCACCGCCCTGCCTATAAGCCACACTGAGTCTGTGCTGTCTCGAACCCCGTGCTACATTGCCACGCCTCTGTGTCTCAGCAAATGCCTCCTGGCACCTCAGGGTGGCCAGCTGGATTTCTGTTAACTGATTATTTCACCTCAGGTGCAGAGAGTTGAGTTACTTGAATTCTCAGCACATTGTCATTGGAGTCCTCACTGCACCCCGCAACTTTCTATTCCTTTCCTTAATCACTCCTCTGACCCCTAGACACCAAGTACAGTACTGTTGCATACAGATCCTTGATAACGGAAGACACTAGTGCTTTGTGAATGGCGTTTGTGGTGAATCTGTTTCCGGTTCTTTTCACTCAGCGCGGTAGTTGAGCTACATCCACATTGCTGTGTGAACGCCTGCTTCCTTGCTTCAAACTTTTGAATATTCCATAGATTTTACTGATCCATTTCCCTAGCGATGGGCATGTAGGTGACTGCCAATTCCCTAATGGCACACTGTACTGAAAACCCTTGGGATGTCTTTATGAACCTGTGCAACAACTCCTATTGGACTCCCAGAACTTCTCCCCACCTCTTTCTTCCTCCCCACACTGCTTGGCCTATCGCAGGAACTCATTAAATGCCAAATGATGCTTAGCGGAGTAGGGTGACTTCTTTCTGTTTCTTCCATAGAATTGTGAGTTCCTTCCATGCAGAAAAGATGCCTTCCTACCTTTGTTTCCCTGGCACCTTTAAAGGTGGTTAACTTTAAGTAACGTTTGATGAATGAATATATGTTTTTCCTCACCACTTGTATAGCCTTGCACACATAACTTCTCAGAGTCTCAGGCTCAGTTTGATCTCTAGCTTTTGAAATTCCCCCTTTCAAGAAAGTGCAGACTTTCAGACTTAGGCCTGTGCAGAAGCCTTCTCCTCTCATTGTCTTCTCTTGCTCTGTCACTGCTAACCTCTCATTCAAGCTGATTGCTCAGGCCCCAAACAGAATCATTTCCACCCTGGTTTTCTCTCAAGCATCCAATCCATCAGCAAGCCCTTTCAAAGTCCACAGTGTATTCCTGACCACTTACACTGTGAAAACCGTGATGCCAGCCCCATCCTCTCTTACCTGGATTATTGCAACCACCTCTAGTCACCCTGCAGCCACTCATCCTCTGACTAGTCTTAACTCAGAATACAGAGTGACTCTATTTCAGGTGTCAACCAAGTCACTCTGAGTCTCAGAATCCTAATGGTTCTCTAAATGCCTCAAGCTAAAAGCCAAAACCCTTGTTTAATCGGGCCTGTGTCCTTCACACACTGGCTGCTAACCTCCATCTCACCTTCCACCTACTTCGTTCATTCCATTCCAGCCTTACTGGCTTCTTTGCTGTTTCTTCAAAACTCCAGGCAGCTTCTGTCTCTCCTCACTGGGGTGTAAGCACTTGCAGAACAGAGCATTTGTAACTTTGGTGCCTTTTGTTCAGGGCTTGTCTGCCCTGCCCATGGTGCTGGGACCTAGGCATGAGGCAGTCACCAGTGGATGAGTGCATGCATGTCGAAGTCCTGGCTCAGGCCACATTTAGCCAATATTGGAATGGTGTTTCAGCACTCCAGCCTTGCTTTGGCCTCTTGCTTCCACTAAATTGCTCTTTTGTCCTTGCATTGATTCATTCTGGGTTATGTCCTGCTGAAAGGACTCCTGTCCTTCCCTACTCTAGAATCTAGGTGCCCTCTAGGGTCCAGCTAGTCTCCCTTTTTCATGACCCTGTCTCTGACAGTTTTGCTTCATTTTGTCCTCTCCTTTGAACAGGACAAAGTATATGTCCTGTATATTTCCTTCAATATCAGGAAAAAAAGAAAAAAAATAATTAATAGTATTTAAGTGTTAGAATAGTTTGAGCTACAGGAAAACTGAGCACATAGTAGAGCATGCCCATATACTCTCCCAATACCTCAGGGTCTTGCTACTATTATTAGCAAAAATAATAATATTATTATGAGTGAGATCTTGAGTTAGTGTGGCACCCTTGTTATAACTGAAGAGCCAATGCTGATTCATTTTATGAAGTCTATATTTATATTAAAGTCCATCTGTTTTACACTACTGGTTTTGACAGCTGCATGTCACGCATGCGCCACCATAGTATCATACAAAATAGTCCCTCTGCCCTGTGCTCCACTTGCTCAATCCTCTGGGCCCTGGCAACCACTGCTTTTTTCTTTTTCTTTCGTTTTTTGTTTTCCTTTCCTCATACACTTGACTTTTGCAGAGTCACATAGTTGGAATCATATAGTATGCAAGTATGTCGCCCCTTCAAAGGCTTCCTTTATGCAGCCATACAAAGGTCAAGTCCCTACATGTCTTTTCTTGGTAGCTATGTATCTTGTAGATCAATGAAGGAAAATAAGAGTTCATTTTACCTTCATTTACTCCTTCTCAAATGTTCTTCCTTTCTTTACGCAGATTTGAATTTCTGACCTGTTTTATATTCCTTCTCTCGGAGAACTTTTAACACTTTGCAAAGCATATCTCCTGGTTACAGAATCCACTGGATGGAGAATTCTAGTTTTTTTTTTTCTCCCCTTTCAACACTTTAAATATTTTTTCTGCCCTCTGGTTTCTGATTAGAAGACAAATAATTCTGTTTCTTGTACCTCTATAGGTAATGTTTCCCACCCTGACTTGTTCTAAGTTTTCTCTTTTCTTTAGTTTAGATAGGACATATCTAGTTGTGGATTTTGGTGTTTACCTTATTCCGAGGCCTCGGAACTTTTAGGATCTGTAGTTTGGTGAATTTAGCTAATTTTGAAAAGCCTTAGTCTTTGTTACTTGAACTCTTTCTTTTGCTTTTGCTCCTTTCTCTGATCTTCTGGTATTTCCTGGTGCGCCTATTACGCCTTTAATAATTGCTTCTAGTACTTAGTTATTCTCTTTCACTTTTTCTCACCTTTGTTTTTTCTTCTCACTTTTCAGTTTGGGGAGTTTTTACTGGCATAATTTCAGGCTTATCAATTATTTTCCCAGCCATTTCTAATCTAGTGATGAGCCTATCTAAGATACTCTTTATTTCTGGTACAGTGCAGTTATATTAATTCTTATCATTTCTTTTTGAGTCTTTCTTAAAAATTCCATTTCTCTGCTCACATTACTGATGTCACCCATTGTCTACTTATTCCACTGTACCTTTAACATATTAATCATAATTGTTTTAAATTCCCTATCTATAATTCCAGTATCAGTGTCTTAAGTTTCATTTCTTAGCTCGCTTTGTTTGACCATACTGTGCTTTTTCTTGCCTGTTAGCATTCCTTACGGTTTCTTGTTGAAATTGGGCATGATAGATTGGGTAACAGGGGCTAAGTTAATTAGGTTTTTAGTTTGAGGTTTTCTGTTAATCTCACTTGGGCCTGAACTGTGTTTAATG